AGCATGCACCTACTGTGCTCGTACAGGGATGGAATCATTGATTTTTGTTCCAACCTCAAAAGCACAGGCTTTGCAAAGGAGGTAGGCATACTGGATTACTAAAGCACAGAGAAATCCATGTTATATTTTAGTGATTTCATTTACTATTTTAAGTAAATTTCTTATTTATCATGTCCTCCTTAAAAAAGAGATCTACTTATGTTCTGAGCTATCTTTTTCATGGAGTGGGTGGGTGGGGGAGAGTACCCATAGGTTTACAAACTTTATCATATAAACAGGCCAAATGATGTGGATTTTGTTATATTTACCCAATATTCCTTCTGTATATTTGTTGGCATTTTTCATTGATTGAATACAAACGAATTTTAATCTCATGCCTACTACTTTATTTCAGTGGATGTGCAGCCCGTGAAGGACTAGGCAAGTGCTTCCGCCTCTACCCTGAGATTGAATTTGAGAAACTCAGGGATTCTACAATTCCCGAGATTACACAGTGCAACCTTTCAAATGTCATTTTGCAACTGAAGGCTCTTGGTGTTGATGATATTTTGGGGTTTGATTTCATGGAAAAACCATACCAAACCAAACCAAGCCTTAAGTCCCATCAAATGGGGTCGGGTACATGAATCCTTCTTCTCCACGTGGCCCTATCAAAGGCCATTTCGTTAGTCAAATTAAGTAGATCCATATCTCTATTTACAACCCTAACCAACGTTAATCTAGGCCTACCCCGTCCCCTAACACTTCCATGTACCGTTACAACATCACATCTCTTCACTACTGCCTCTGTTGGTCTTCATTGAATATGATCAAACCATCTCAATCGATTCTCTCTCAACTTATTTTCTATTGGTGCTACTCCTACTCATTCCCTAACAAACTGAAGAAGCCCACATCCTCATTCCTTCTATTCAGATCAGTCATTTTAAAATATGTTATAAGCACCTATATATATACCTAACAAGATTAAAAGTAAATACCTAAAATTTTGGTCATTTTATTTTTATTCACAATGATGCTGGAATTGCTAGTAGTCACGGATGAGCTATATGGAGGTGAATCAAAGAATTAGCATACATTAACAGTACAACAAAATGTAATGAAATTTGCTTTATATTTTCTTATACTATGTTATTTTTGTTGAAAATACAGCAAAGAGGCAAGAAAGAACTTGTTGGAAGAGAGGCCAGGAATTAATGACTCTACCCTTAATGCCCTCATTTTAGTGAAATGGAAGGTGTGAAATTTAACTGCCTGTTTGGGTAATTCTTTTTTTGAAAATGTAAAAAGAAGTACTGGAAATTTTGGTTTTGTACTTGTAGGAATTGAGTGAAGAAGATGAGCAAACTTGGAATGAAAAAGCTGCAGGAGCCAAGTGTCATGCCCCGAGAATTTCTGTGACACAAGGAGCAGCGTTTGAGGTGTGCCGCAGGCGCTGGAAGGTTCCGGAAGGTGTGAGAACGGACTAGAGTATGCTGGAAGGCTCTAAAACCTGGTGGAAGGGTCCGAAGTGGCCTGGAAGATTCTGGAATGTGGTGGAAGAACCTGAAGGGTCCAGCAGAGTCTGGATGGGTCTGGAACATCCTAGAATATCATGGAGAAGCCTACCATGTACTACACTAGTATAGGGAATTCTAGAAGGTAGTAGAAAGGTAGTTGTCCTAGATATTTCTATAGAGGGTTCTAGAGGAAAGCTTGTAGCCCTTGGATCAAAATGATCCTAGCCATCCGTTGAGGAGGAGGATGGCTATGTAAAGGGGAGGGGTCTCATTTGTAAGGGATCCAAGAAAGGAGCCAAGAGAGGAGATCCAAGAGAGCTCTGAGAGTGAAACACTTGTGAGTGTGAGAGCCTTGTAAAGCTTTGTACACAACTATACTTGTATAGTGAATACATTCTTCCACCTAAACTTTGTGTTTTAGTTAGTGTGGTCGAGTGGGGAAGGCTGACTTACGACCAAGTGGGTTGATAAGCATCTAAGGCCGCACAGTTGGCTTGGAAAATCCAAGGCCGTGACACAAGGAGCCAAGATGGAATTGGAAGAGTATAACAAATCTGCAGCAATGGAGGAGGAAAACAACAACAACCCACAACAGTAAAAAGCAAGCTTGAATATTGATGAAGGAGGCTCTAATTCTGTCAATGTGTTCAAAACTAATTCCTTTCGTGTTAACATCTGTTAACTACTACTGACCCCCCGGACATGTTAACATCGTTGATTTTTACTTTTTTTTGGCCATTTGAATGTTGAATCTGTAGTTCAAGATTGAATTAGTATGATGATTCAAAGTAGTTTGCAAAATCAACGAAGTTGTGTTTTCCAAACATTCCAACTTGTGTGTTGAATTAATTTGATGATTCAGATCAAAGTAGTTCCCAAATCAATGAAATTGTTAAAATACTCACTTCAGTTATTGCAAGATGTTGTTCTATGCTGTGGAAGGTGATTTTAAATGTTAATGTATGGATAAAGTTATATTTGAACTTTCAAATTTTAGAAATTCATTACTTCAAAATATTTTGACACTACTAATCAAGCACTAGATTTTTTTCATTACTCAAATTTTCAGTTTTATATAGCTCTTAACTGATTGTTTTTGTTTCATCCTTGGGAGGATGCAACGTGATTGCTAAGAAAGTAAATGCCCAGCCCCCATTTCAGTTTAGTTTATCTTTCCAATTTGTTAAACAGGAAAGCTTTAGCTGAACTCCATACACTTCTAATCTCCTACTCCTTGGCTTTGTTCTAAAGCATCTCAGAAGAATAACTTGTCTATTGTTCTCAGTTCTTGTTGCCTCTGGCTTCACAAAATGCATTTGCTTTTCTATCTTTTCTTTTGCATTGTCACCTATTCATCCTGTTACCTTTATTTCTGACTGCATAACATTCTCGTGACAAAGCATAGTTGGACCTGTTTTCCGTAATTGATATGGACATTTGAAGAATGAAGTTCATATGATGCTTTTAGATATAATTCTCTCTTTCACCACTTGCTTCAGACATAATATTTTTATTTCTATCAATTGAACATTCCAACTTGCAAAAGAATCTTCCAAGGAATGTTCAGACTACTATACAACAAAAGCCAAGACAATTCTTTTCGTGTTAACATCTGTTAACTACTACTGACCCCCCGGACATGTTAACATCGTTGATTTTTACTTTTTTTTGGCCATTTGAATGTTGAATTTGTAGTTCAATATTGAATTAGTATGATGATTCAAAGTAGTTTGCAAAATCAACGAAGTTGTGTTTTCCAAACAT